ATACTGACTGGTATATATAAAATAGATAAACAAGTTCATACTGTATAGCACAGGGAAATACATTAAATATCTTGTAGTAATTTATGGTGAAAAAGAATATGAAAATGAATATATGTATAAACATGTATGACTGAAGCATTGTGTTGTACACCAGAAATTGGCACAATATTGTAAACTGACTATACTTCAATAAAAAAGTCTACAAATAATAAGTGCTGGAGAAAGTGTGGAGGAAAGGGAACCCTCCTCCACTGTTGGTGAGAGTGTAAATTGGCACAGCCACTATGAAGTACAGTAGGGAGGATCCTTGAAAACTGAAAAGTAGAGTTACTATATGATCCAGCAATCCCGCTCCTGGGCATACATCCAGAGGGAACTCTAATTTGAAAATATACATGCACCCCAGTGTTCATAGCAGCACTATTTACAGCAGCCAAGACATGGATGCAATCTAAATGTCCATTGACAGATGATCAGCTAATGAAGATGTGTGACAGATATATAGATATAGATATAGATATAGATATAGATATAGATGGATATCTATATAGGTATATAGATACATATATACACATATATAAATATATATGAATATTCCTACATGTGTAGGAATATTACTCAGTTGTAAAAAAGAATAAAATATTACCATATTGCCATTTGCAGCAACGTGGATAAGCCTAGAGAATGTTATACTTAATGAAGTCAGTCGGACAGAGAAAAACAAATATTATATAATATTTATATGTGAAATCTAAAAAATAATTCAAATTAATCTATATACAAAACAGAAGCAGACATACAGACATAGAAAACAAATTATGGTTACCCAAGGGGAAAGAGGGGGATGGATAAATTAGCAGTTTGGGATTAGCGGGTACAAACTATGATATATAAAATAGATAAGGCACAAGGATCTACTGTGTAGCACAGGGAACTATACTCAATATCTTGTAAAAACCTATAATGAAAAATAATCTGAAAAATATATGGATACTACTGAAAGAAAAAGAAGGTGGTTGCCTTTGGGGGTTAAGGAATTGACTGGAAATGGGCACATGGGAGTTTATTGGATAAAGAAAATGCTCCTCATTTTGTTTTGACAGATGATTATTTGGTGACAAAGTTCATCAAACAGAATGCATTTCATTGTATGTTAATTATATCTTACATTTAATAAACAGGTTTTGGCAGCACCAATAACGGACAAGAATTTTGCTTTTGGCAACAAATAGATCAGGCTTCAGTTCCAGATTCTGCTAGAGATAGCAGGGACATGCAACAAGTTAATTACCATCCTGAGCCTCAAGATCTTCATGTGTAAAACGGGGCCAAACGCTTGTGGATTTTGTGAGGAATATACAGTGCATGTAAAGATTTTAGGACGGTGCTTGGTCAAATAACAAGCATCCAATATACAGTAGTTAGGCTATTTTAATGAACCTCTTGCAACACTTCTTTCAAAAGCCTTGTACTTCTGATACGTTCTGTGTTGATTTACTTATTTATTTTTCTTTTAGTGCTCAGTCTGTCTATTTGGAGAACACTCTTGAATCTCCCACAGCTTTGGTGTTGTTTGTTTTTTCTTTTCATTGCTACTGCCAGCATCACACCCCTACCCTCACACTCCAGGCAGAAGTGAGTACTCAGTTACTTGCGTCAACTATGACCAATAGAAGTTTTAAACGCTGCAGACCATAACACTTTATGGCACTAAAAATACCATATTAATATCCCTCTGCGTCTATAAGATCCAGTGACAGATTTTTTTCTCTGTAGCCCTACACCGTGTCAGGCACATACATAATCCTTAATAAAAAGTATTTTGCAAATAAATAATTTTAGACTTTGTGAAAATCATACCTGATTATTTTACACACTTATAAATATTTCCACTAGAGCCTAACAGCTGTAGAGGAGTGAAAGATGGGCACTTCTGGTGCTAATCTTATGCTTTCATTCAATAGCTCCTCCCTGACCACTCAGAATGAGGCAGGGGAGACAAGAGTGAACAAAACAAGGCTGCAATCTGCAAGAAGGCCCCAGTCTTGTGGCAAGCCAGGCGATAAAGAAATACACAAATTCTTTGTACATCTGGCTCAGTGATGTCCCTACTCCTATTTGTCTATCCTCAATTCTCCTTCTCCCAATCTTTTCTATTACTTGTATTATCCTTTTGCTATATATTTGTGTAAATTTGTGCCAAAGCCGTTTCTCATTAGATGACAGACAGGTGCCTACATTCCATGGACATTTTGTGTATATTTGAATTCTATCTTCTGCTCACCTTGGATTTTTAAACCGCTTCGTGGAGAAAGAAGGAGAAGGAATTTTGGCAAGGCGTGGTTCAGAGGAATGGGGATAGAAGAGCATACACACAGAAGGTCAGTGGGTGCATCAGGAAACTAGAAGATTCCACTAGGAGAAGGGGGTTTTCAGAAACCTATTTAAAGCTTTTTGTTCAAACACCAGAATCAGTATCACATTATTAAACCAGTCAGCCTTCACAAAGGGGCTACATGTTATTTGATTCCTCACCTGTGACACTGGGAGCAGGTGCATTTATTAGAAGCTGGGTGGTCAAGTGGCCTGGGTCTGAGAGCAATGAATGTCTCAAACAGGCCAGTGTATTTTCCAGGGAAGAATAAATCCGACTCACCCATTACTGGCCCCACCAAAATCACTGGATACTTATGTCTCCATTTTTCTCAGCTGGTTCACATATGTTACCAAGGAGTTGCAAAAATGCTAGTGTAGGACTTGACGACATTTCATGTATAATGACACCTACAAGTTTTCCCGACTCCACCCCATAATCCCTGATAATTCCCTTTTGGCGTCTGCATCACACGTGGGCATAAACTGGGCCTCCTTTCACATGATGGATTTGGTAGGAGTTGACATTGTGTGGTAGTGCTTTTCATTAAGCTCCAACCTCACTGAGAACAATTGGGCCCTGCTGGTCACCATTTATTGTGTGGGATGATCCACAGCATGGTGGACCAAAGGTTAAATCCACCATAATCCTGAAAAAACAAATTGTTAGTGGAAGAACTTAATCTCTGATGAATGTATACACTTGAATGAGAGAAGGGGAAAGTGTGCTTTAGTGACAGTAGAAATGTCATCAGCTGAGAAATGAATTGACTTTCCCAAAGCCATCCACAGCCAGCAACCATCATGTGACAGAGTTGGGAATAGGGGAACATGAGGGTTATGTGTCCAAATTTATGCACTGCATCTCTAGAAGTAGTTCTAAATCTCTATCAAACTCAGAAGTCTTATAGGGACAGATCATTAGCCCAGAGAGGAACCTGGAAACCATGAGACATGGAGGTATCCATACTTCAGAAGCACACAGGTGTGTACACAGGTGTGACAGACACCTCAGCAGGCACCAGGGGAGAGCTACTGGTGTCTGAAAAGGTGTTCTAAGCGATAATAATTCTGATTTCTCACCCCTTCAGTTGCCAGAAAAAAAACACTGAACCCTCACTCCCAAATTATTACTTCATTATTTAAGGCAACGATAACCTTGGGAGTGTGTATATGCCTTTGTTGGGATTCATAAATTACCAAATTTGAGGAACACTGGCTAAGGGTACCTCAGGAGGAGTGGGGTATAGCCTCTAGCATTCTCTCCTGCCCCCTTGTGGCATCATTCGTGTTTTATTGGTCACTCTGGACTCTTGCCCTAGGCAGCAAATAGCCTCTACTAAACTAAGCATCTTTAATACTTAGTATTTTGTATATTTCCAGAAAACAACCCAACTGGCAGTGAGACTGGCTTTTTCTTTCAGCATGAAGTCACATAGTGCTACTCAGTAAATGTGATGTCTCCTGCTTTATCCATTAACACATCATTTGTCTAATTTTTAAACTGATTTTGTCTATGAGTAGATGTCCCCCAAATTCTGTAAATCACTCTTCATCTGTTTTTCCTGTGTATTAATCTTGAATCTCTTCATTCACTCATTTTATTATTTTCTAGTGCTTTTTTTTTTGGTTTTCCTCTTTACAATTTCTTTCTTGCTCTGCAACTAATAAGCATCAACAGTAAATCTACCTGGTTTTTTCATCCCAGTTATTCCACAGGAATTATTCCCCCAGGCTAAAAATGCTGCCTTCCACTGATCTCCGGAGCATCTTAATTTCTCCAGGATTCCTTTCCTTCCCACTCTATTCTTTGTCGTCTTTTTCTCTACCTATGTCTAAAAAGGTCTGCCTTCTCCAACACCTGTCTCAGGAGTTTCACTCTAAACACTCTTCTTCTGCAGCCACACTCCCTGGAACGCTCTGTTTCTATGAAGAGGATCGTGACTCTCAGCTCAGTTTTCTTCTGAATCCCAAACCATTATACAGGTGTCTACAGGATAGCTCTCTCTGGCAGTCCCATAGCACGCACTGTCAATGCCCATGTCCTATTCAACACTTGACAATCTCTCCCCACTACGAGCCCCACAACACCAGCGATTTCCCACTTCCCCGGGACAGCGACTTCTCTCTCACTCTTACATTAATTATAGCAGCTGCCTACTATGACTCTTGCATCGCGCGCGCGTGTGTGTGTGTATCTATATCTATATCTATATCTATATCTATATCTATATCTATATCTATATCTATATCTATATCAAATACATACATATATATTTTTTAAATCCCTCCGGCTCGGGTTTTGCCATATCTGAGCTCAAACCACGCCATCTCCCCCCTCATGGACGCCTTCCATGTTCCCAGTGGTCTCTTCCCAACTCTATACCACAGTACAGTGATTTCTAAAACATAGGTCCGGTCCTGTCACTGTCCTGTGGAAACTCATCCATGGGCAGTCCGATTAGGCTGCAATTGGGGACCGGACAGTGCGGGGAGGGATCTCGTGTCAGTCAGGATTCCTGGTAGACGCCCCTCTGCACTATCCACTTGTGGTGGTCGGGGGCGGGGAAGGGGCGGGATTGAGCCCCCTTCCCCCCTCCTCCTTACTGCGGAAAGCTGCAGAGCTAAGGGCGCTCACTTCCTACTCACCAGTCAGCGGGGAGGAATCCTCTGAGCAGCCACGTAGGCATTCTCTTCTCTCTGGAGGAAAAGGCCCAGCAGCTGTCGGAGGAAAAGGCTCACCAGCTGTCAGAGCGAAGGGACATGTCGCAGCTAAGTAAGAATTTGGGTGATTCGAGTCCCCCGGCGGAGGCCCCCAAGCCTCCAGTCTATAGCCGCCCTACGGTTCTGATGCGGGCCCCGCCCGCTTCCTCCCGGGCTCCGCCAGTCCCTTGGGATCCACCTCCGATTGATTTGCAGGCTTCACTGGCCGCTTGGCAGGCACCTCAGCCTGCCTGGGAGGCCCCGCAGGGCCAGCCGCCTGCCCCAGTGGCTCCGATGGCCCAACCTCCATCCCTAGGGGCTCCGATGGTCCAGGCTCCCCCTCTGGGAGGCCCGATGGGGAAGCCTCCGACTCCCGGAGTCCTGATGGTGCATCCTCCCCCTCCGGGAGCCCCGATGGCCCAGCCTCCGACTCCGGGAGTCCTGATGGTGCATCCTTCGGCTCCCGGGGCCCCCATGGCCCATCCTCCTCCTCCTGGGACCCCGATGGCCCACCCTCCTCCTCCCGGGACCCCGATGGCCCATC